CAGTCCCCCAGCTTCCTAATGAGAATGGGGTGAGAGACAGTGTCAAAAGCCTTCCTGAAGTCTAGGAAAACTATATCCACTGCCACCCCTGCATCCAATGATTTAGTGACCTGGTCGTAAAAGGCCACCAGGTTGGTCTGACAGGACCTGCCGCTGATGAACCCGTGCTGGTTGCCCCTGAACATGCAGTTCCCTGCTGGCCCCTCCTGGATGTGTGCCAGAATAATTTTCTCAAACAGCTTGCCCAGAATCGAGGTAAGGCTGACTGGCCTGAAGAGTACATCTTCAGTATTTTAAAGAATAAACAAAGCTCTAGTTGTGCTTCAGTGTGGTTATTCTGGATATGATTGAATAGGTTTTTACGACAAAATATGATGCAACTGGTATAAGGGAAATTAACATGTTGAACTTTACTGATCACCCATACCATGTGTTCTTGCAATGAATTTCAACAGCCAGGTTTATGAATGAATGTTCATTCATGAATAATGAATATTGATTAATTATTTTTGTTTCCTTATCAGCCAAAATGTTCAGTGAAGATGCTTATTACTATTCAAGATGAACAGTACAGAGAACTATCTAGCAAAGGCTAAGAGACGTTTGGGCATCCTAATACTGTATGGTCTCTTTATTTTGTTTGGTCTTGCTTTTTTAATTGTCAAGGGTTCTTTTAGCATATTCATAATATCACCAAAATACTTAAAAATAAAGTCTCTAACCTGCTTTTTAAATCTTTCCTTCAGTTTCACTCTAGCAGAATAATCCACAAGAAAGATCTGGGCCCCATGCAGAGTTGTCAGTTTTTCAGGCAAAAAAACCCAATAAAAAAAAACAAAAAAAAACAAACAGTTGCTAGCCCTCTTCCAATTAGAGGGAGGGAAGAAAGAGATTGTCTAACTTACAGCCATACCTTCAGAGAACCAAGGAGTTGCAACTGCTAGATGATTAGGCTATTTTTATCTATTGAAGAAAGGTTTAAACAGATCGTCTACTACAGCAAGGAAGATTAGGCTGTGTGTCAATGTTTGTAGGGAACGGTAATCCCTCATCTGGCTTTTCCTGTTTATGTAGCCAAACAGGAGGCTTCCTCCACTGATAAGGTCTGTGGGAGATATCAGGAGCTGCAAACATTACCAGTCATTTCCTTTACTTTGCTCACCCCCCATTTGCAGCCACAGCATTTAGATGTAGAGATGAGACTGCTACCCCTTTAATGCTTTCCCCTCACTTCTACATTTGGGCAAGTCTCAGAAGCCCAAATGTTTAGAACTGGCGCTTCAAAAGAGTTTGTTCTTAACATGGAATGAGGTGGTTCTGAGAATAGATACCGTTTGCTTCAACAGGTATATCTGAATGTCAGATCTAGTACTCTAACAGTATGTCTACACATTGCCCTATGGTGACATAGTGATGCACTACATCGCCGTATTGTGTGCTACAATGACATAGCAATCATGTGGGTCTACACATGATCGGCAGTTATGTTGCTGGAGTAGCGCACTCCCCTGGTACAGTGCACCGCTACAGTGATGTAGCAGCAAAATCTAACTGTGCACCGTGTTTTAGTACTTCCAAAAGGAAATACTAAAAGCATGGCACCATAGCAACATTGCCGTCTGGCAACGTGTAGATGTGTCATAAGTGTTCCTAAAAATACCAACAGAATACCAGAAGGTTCAGGAAAGGACCCATTTTCCTCACCTTTAGCAGTAGTAACATCCATAAGACAAACATGTACATGTCATATTTACTCACTAGCTCAGTCTTCCTGCATGTATGACACACAGTAATTGGATCAATTAGCCAGTGAAACTAGATCAACCTCTACTAGTAAGGCAAGAAAGCCTTGTCCATTTCTCACTATAAACTTCCAGTTCAAGTTCTCTTTACTGAGCAAGACATCCATCCAGTCAGGCCAATCTATCAAGGCGACCCACTTCCTCCTGGCTGTAACATGCACACCAAATGTCTGCTTGTCCATTTACAATAATAATTTCTCAATTTGAATACAGAGTAACAGATGAGCAACCCTCTTTATGAATTTACCCCCAAGAGTTCTGAAATGTTCTTCCATTAAAAGCACATCTCTGCACATCCTGCTGGTTTGGGTTGCTGGAATGCTCTCCCCCTCCCCAATTCCCTTCAGTCTCTCATGGACTATAGAACTGAAATTAGCTATTCATTACATGTGAAGGAGCCTCAGATAGAGCAGCACCCTGCTGAGAAAGACTGCTACTTTACATGTCAATTTCAGAACTAAAGCATCTGCTACCTTACTAATATGTATATTTAATGCTGCTGCATAATGTGCAGAATTATATGCTGTTCATTGCCTGTTTGTTCAGATATTACGTACTCTTAAGTAGCATTATTCTAAATTATTCCCTTTGAAAAACATAGTACTTTTTATTAGACTTCCTCCCTGGTGTTCTTTGTAATAGATCCCCAAATGAATGGCTTGCAGACTATTCCGGACCAAAAAACATGACTCAGGGTGAGGAAACCAAATGTGACAAGTTTCTGGCCTGCAACAGCTAGTGTAATTTACTTTGTATTCTAAGTCTCACTCCCATACATATAGTTTTACATTGTTTTGATACGGAGGCAAGTGGAAAGGGAATTATGTCTCAACAATTGTTAGTAAACCTGCTCCAAGTTGCTCTTGCCACTGGATACATGAATACTCGCATCAGGAAAATTGCAGTTCTTACAGATTTTTTTCTTCTGGTTATTAATTATTAGCTCTCCACAGTACGACACCCACAGCAACATATTAAAGTGTATTACATACAGTGACAAACTGTTTTATTTACAATGCCAAAGGAATTTGATAAAGAAAGGAAAGTTTTTGCTGGGGAAGCAACTATATTCATGTACAAGACAGCAATAGGATCATGCAAGTTTGGGTATAACCTTGCCTGAAAGACATGACATCCTTTGACCCATGCCCCCAGCTAAATCATCATCAGTGCTACCCACCCAAAAGTTACAAGTCTGTCCACAATTCAGGAAGAAAGCCAACTATGTCAGGCAGTACAGTTACACAAGTGACAAAACAAATTTCTGTGATCTAAAATACAAATATACGTGAAGATTCAAATTCACACTACCAGGCTTAGATTACTTGCTTCCAGAACAACTGATGATGGAGACGGCAGTGCAGCAGAGGTAAAGAAAAGCTTTGTATCACCATCTTGCAATGTCCCCTAGAAACAGCGATGTAAACTTACTTTGGCACAAACATTAACCACCCATGTGTTATTGTAGTCATGACTGTCCAAGAAATGCATGAGAGGCAGGAGTGACCTGGTGGGAAGGGACGTTGGTGATATCTTTTATTGGACCAACTGTATGTATAGTAGTTGGGAGAGATGTTGCTCCAATAAAAATATCACCTGAAAAAATCCCTTGCTTCTGTTGGAGCAATGCAATGCACAAAGAAGATATTTAGCTCTATCCCTGTTCCAATTCCTAGATTAAGTGAAAGGAACAACAGCTCACTTTATCTAGACTGGACTTTGTAACTCAGAGTGCAGGTGCCTGTTCTAGTATTATGTTCCAAAGCATGTTATTCTATAGCATAAACTAGGTATAAATGTACAATAATGCAATCTATTGACTGACCAGGGGTGTGGCTGCCAAGAACAAAGTGTTGGTAACTTCCTGTTATTCTAAACTGCAAATAAATTTAGATAAGAGAAAATCCACCTGTTGGGCAGATGTTAAAAGTCCAAGTTTAGCTTCCACCCACTAGCTGTCAGGATGGCCTGGATGCTAGTCTTTCCTTCCATGCTGTGACAGACAAGCCCCATTCTTTAGGAGTAGAAAACTATAGCAGATTTGTGCTTTTTAGTCCTTCATGTTTATGTTTTTAACATGGAATGCAAGTACTGCTGCTAGAACTTTTGTGAAGCAGGGGACAAAGAGTTAATGCCATTTGTTGAGAAGAATTGGAGGATTTGAGGGAAGGATATTCCTAACTACTTTCATATGCACACGTCATTATTAGCATGGATTGCAGGTGTTAAAAGGAAAAAAGATGACTAAGAATACCCACTGCATTTATGACAGCAGAACAATGGAAGAATAGCCAATTAAGATAGAGAATATCCACATGCAATAGTAAGGAGATTGCATTTAAGTGGTTTTTGTGCTGCTACTGAACTAAGCTTTTTAAAATTTTTATTGTAAAGCAATAAATCATACAGGTAACATAGATCTGAATGTCACTCAAGGACAAAAGATATGGATCTGCATCTCCCCATTGTTGTGACACTTCTGAGCAACAATGACAGAACAGGGTGGGAAAGGAGAGTCAGGACTTAAACTCTGCAATATATAAAAATGGTAGAGTAAATCCACTACTTAGTTATAGAATAATATGTTCTGCATTTTGTTTCAATTACAGAGACTGACAGACT